GAAAGTTCATCTGATGTGGAGAAAGGCACAGCATGGACTGGGGTGTAACATATTTCAGGATACCTTCCTGCACTTATGGGGAAGTAGCAATCATTCCTGTCTGTAGACCCTCCTAATCTCTGGGCTGAAATCTATGGGTCACAGGGTCTCTCCTCTTTCCCATCTGAAAAACTGAGGGACCCTCAGGAAGAGTGGGACACATCACAGGCATCTGCAGCTTAATAGGAGAAAGCATACACACTCCATATGAGCTTTTATAGAAATGGAGCAAGAGCTCATGCAACAGGGGAGGCTTTATACCAACTATCTTTCTTGCAGCAGCCTCACATGCTACATCACAGTGTGTTCTTGAGGTTCACAAAATAAAGGCTACATATGCAGTAGAAGTTGCACTTAGGGATAAATGGTCAGTAAGCCATTTGAGAATATGTTCCACTATTGATCAGATCCCCGGCTTTATATGAGTATTAGGACTGAATTTTTCCTGTATTACTAGTCTGAGTGCTGTGTGAAGGATTTTTCCTACATATACATGATTGCAGTCTTCTGTACATTATCAGTACTTTATGCAGTAGTTTGAACTCTTTGAAGAAGAACCCTCAAAATGAAGATCAAAATCCAGAGTCTTCGTCCAACTACTTGTGAAACTACTTGTGAACTTATGTATACTATGTATGGACTTGCACATTTTATGATGTAATCTTGCTTTACTGATATATGTGGTCCCTTGTTATTGTTATTAGTTTTGCTTTTGTTACAATATAATTTTCCTTTGCATGACCTTTGTGCACTCCATGGCCTGCGTTATTTATATAGTGCTTGTTTGTTTACTGTACTCAGTGTACTGTGTTATCATTATTGTTTTGGGATAAGTAGTAAGATGACAGCCACTTAAAATTGCACTGTTCAAAGGATTTGCTCATTGAAAATGTCAGTTTAGTACTGCAGGAATGAAAAAGGCAAAGAAATTAGGAAATAGGATGAAAATAAAACAGCAAATATCACAATGCTACTGTAATGCATCAATGGTGTGGACACATTTTAAAAATGTCCACCTCTAATGGAATCACAGAACTGCAAAATGTATAAAACAAAAGCCTAAAATTATCAGCAATTGAACTACCTACCCCACAAAGAAAAGCTAAAAAGAGCTGATACAAAAAGTGGTCCAGCATGGACAAACCTTAAGAGTCTTAACTTACCGCAAAGCACGACTGAGTTTCTCATAGTTCATAGTGGGCTTATTTTTACGCTGTCCCCATTTCTGTGCGACTAGTTCTGGTTGATTTAGTTTGAATTCTCCTTCATCTCCAACCCATGAAATGCAGTCTCGAGCGTCTTTGTCTGTCAGAAGCTCAAGCAAAAACTGCCATAACTGTATCTGACCATTATTTCCTATTGAAAAGGACATGGTTAATGTTTTTCACCTGCAAGCCTATCAAGAACTTGCAAAACAGATGAACAAAACAAAAGTAGTTTGAAAAATCAGACTTCAAATATATTGGTGATTAATATAATTTGTGTATCAAGTTCCCTACCCTCCCAATGACATTTAAAACTTAACTAGAGAAAATTACTTCTGTTCAATATCATTAGTCAAATTTATGATTTTCTTTTAAAAAAAACTTTTAAACTGACTTTTTAAAAAATCACACAATTAAAAGAATCATTAACAGATGTTTGCAGATGACCGTAACAATAAGAACTGAACGTTAACAGAATGGCAGCCATTACTTAGAAGTTCAACTGAATTCAGCAGAACTTCAGTATTGCAAATTTTCCCTTGCTTTTTCTCATGGCATGATGCTGCCACCACTCTGGATTTATGATCCCTTGAGAAGGCCCAGAGCACCCTCCCAAGACCTTCAGACCTCCCTTTTGGCCGAATAATAGGCGTGACCAGGCAGAGTACAACAAGGAAAAGGTTTATTTTATAGGAGGTCAAACAACAAGGTGCAGAATAATAGCAGTAAGTGGGTGAAAAGAAAAGAAATCAAATGCCCTAACGCGTCTAAATATACGCTCTCCCTAGCTCACTATCTGCAGTGGCCTTAGACTACTCACCCTACCCTCAGGATGAAGGTTTCTTCCTTGCAGCAGCCTTCCTTCTGGCTCTGCCCTCTGGGAAGAAGAACAGCTTTTCCTGCTGCTCCAGATCTTTTATTCCAAGCCCTCCTCTTTTCCTATTGGTCAATTTGGGCTCCAAAACCTCTCAGGCCCAGCCTCACCTACTGCTAGCCAGGCTCCCTGGGCCTAGTAGGCCTCTGGTGGCACAGCCCAGATCATGACACTTGTATTTCTTAAATTATCTGTATAAATCTTGGGGCCCGTTCAACAACAACCCCAGAGAATAAAATATTATTTCATTCGTTCAAAATATTCAACTAAAACAATAAGGTACTTTTCCAAACACAGTAAGATACAGTAAAAGAAAATAATCTGGCATGAAAGAACTGAAATACCAAAGGTGATGGTAAAATATTGATTAAATGGAGTATATGAATAATGGTAAGCAAATAAAACCTATGATTTTAAATCTTATACTAACAAAAAGCAATAGCTAAACTTTCTATAATGAAACACTGAGTTCATAAGGTGAGACAGCAGCACTGAGAAATGTTTAGACGCCGTAACAATTGTCATTTGGAACAAGTTATACAAAAAACATTGTTTTGTTTATCGAGAAATGTTCCTATGTTCTTCTTCCCCTACCTCCAACATAAAGCTTTTTCTATGTAAGTACCAAGATTGTTTACCACTACCCAAATAACATGGATGTCAGGGACTGGAGTATTTATTATGATGAACCTGAAATCTTCTGATTTTAAAAACAATATACCTGTTCTGTTCCCAGGTGAACTTCTGTCTTCTCCTGAAATCCTTGGTGCTCTCTGTACTTTAGCTGTCTTTGCACTGCTGTTTATTACTTTAATGGTGGTTGGGGTAGAAGGTTGTACAGATGCTGGAATAATCTGCACAGCTGCAGGGGGGACAGAAAACAAACAAAGTTATGAATTAGCAGTAGAAGCGCACTTAAGCAAAAATTGTTATTTCAGTATAAAACATCTTTCAATGATAGTACAAACATTCAATGTTGAATATAACAGTGTTATCAATGAAACACTATGAAGTTCCTTACCTACTGGGGTTCCTTACCAACTGAAATATCATTGGAGTATCAGTGTACTATCATGCATCATAATTACCTCGAAGTATTCCCAATCAGAAACAAAAACTGATAGCATTGCAAGTTTTTCAAATGGGCTGTGTTACATCTGAAACCAGTTTCTGGAAACATTAACATGAAATCCCTTACAATTTACAAGACCATATGGAGCTGTATAGAAGAGGTGGCTTATCACCATCATTTTGGAATTTCACTGCAAAGGTTTGTGTGCTCTAAGAAGAATAAGTCTAGATTATAAACCAAAATAACCACAATTCTGGAGCTACTATTATACAAATAGGCTTTTAAAAACCTTGCATAGTTTATTGTGCTTCTCTTAGCCATGAAGACAACCATTCTGAGTTCTAGAAATAGAATAAACTATTCTAGGATAGACTACTGTAATTCGCTGTATGCGGGCCTTCCCTTGAGGTGGACCCAGAAGCTCCAACTAGTCCAGAACACAGCCGTGTGGATCCTTACAGGGACCCCCGGATGGCACATATTCAACCTGTGCAGCACAAGCTGCACTGGCTTCCAGTGGAGCACTGAATCAAGTTCAAGGTGCCGGCTTTGACCTTTAAGGCCTTTGACCTTCACAGTCAGGGACCCACATACCTCCAGGACCGCCTCTCTCAGTATGCCCCTAATATAGCGTTACGCTTGGGTACTAAAAGTCTCCTGGTGGTCCCCAAGGGGGCCCTGCCTGGTGGAACTCTCTGCTGGAGACCATCCATGCCCTGCAGGATTTATTACCTTTCCGCACAGCTGGTAAGGCAGAGATGTTCTGCCAGGCTTTCAGCTGAGGGACAGCACATAGTCTGGCGCTCTCAGGTTTCCCGCCCCCTTGGAGGATCTGAGTAGTTTCAATTTTCTATTCAAATCATTCGCCACCTTGGAACTGCTTTTTACTTATGACTCAGTATTGTGTTTTAATGCTGGTTTATCTTAACTTGGATTATTGTGTTTTTATTCTGTTGTAAGCCACCCTGAGCCCCACTTGCAAGGAAAGGGCAGCCTAAAAGTCTAAACAATAAATATATCCTACTCAGTCCCACTCTACCATCATAGGGTTGGATTCAGACTAAATTTTTGCTAACAGAAGGGGTGAGGTGATTTCCACCAATTCCCTCTTGTTGCTGCGGACCCAATTTGCCTCTCATGCTATTCCTGAGGCCCTCCTGAGCTCTAGTAGCAGCATTTTGGGGGGGATCAGTGAGCTGCAGCAGGGAGGGGAGGGAAGAGAAATGTTCTGTTTCAACCCACAAATCCAACCCACAGATTTTATCAGGTAATACCCATTTCCTTCCAAATCTCTCACAGCAGCCATAAAAACAACAACAACACAGATTCAATTTTTTTAAAGTAAGAGTTCAATACTTGTATCTAATTTTTAACCTGCCCTTCCTGCAAGGAACTCAGGTCACCACAGATGGCTCTCCTTGATCCTATTTCATCATTACAGTCCTGAGCACAGAAAGAAGCTTGCAAGACTGTGGTGGACAAGAGGACTTCCAGGCATTTAGGCTGACCATAAGATATGGTGCTTATAACCACAGATACCTAAAATCATAACTATGCTCCTTAGAAGCATAAATACAACTTCAGAAATCAAGTGTTTTGAATCTATAGATGCATCAAGGGATCCTAATTTTCCTCCACTGATACATGGAGGATATAGATGCAAGTGAATGAGTCACCTGTAGTGGGGGTTTTTTTTGGGATACATGCATGACTCTGTGCTTTAACTTCATGACACAGAAATTCAAATTGTGCATGAGGACTTTTTCCTTATAAATACTGGTAACTCACAGAAAACTGAGGGAATGAGAAAGTCCATGTTCAAGCTCCTGTATGAAGGCTGCATCGATCTTCACTATTAGGACACTCCAAGCAATACATTCAGGTTAATTTTTTCATATCACTCTTTTCACAACATAATATTTAGTCCAGTGGTTCCCAACCAGGGGGCTAGAAACCTCTGGGAGGCCATGTGGAGATACTGCAAGGGGTCTGTGAATCCACTAAGCCTTGTTATTTTTATCTTTTTGTCATTTATGTATGTTCTCAATCAACAGATACTATCAATACAACTACTATCGTGCAAAAATTTTTGATGTTATAAAGTGGTCCTCATACAAAGTATAAAGTGGTCCTCATACTCACTGTTTTAGTACAATGTTTCAACTTTATATTAAAAACATGAAAACTCAGTTTCCAAATGGAAGTATATGCATTTTTGAGAGCTTATTTTATTACTCCAAAAATTTAAGTTTGTTGTCAACACTTTCTTAGAAAAGTACTCACGTTGGTCGATAGTAACTGTTGCAATTTCTCCAGAGTGTTCTTGGCTAGCCAAAACATCTGCAATATACAAGAAAAAAACACCATGTACTATATCTACAGAGATTTCTTTATTTGAAAGCTAAGGAAAGACAGTTAAGGAAATGTTCAATGTCATGAAGAATATTAAAATCAGAAGCATACAAATATGCATATGGGGAAGAGGGTGCGATGGAGACGGCCTTGCCCATTCATAGATTTGTGATATTCATATAGGTATTTACTTTAGACAGTTTCATCTCTCCCAATAACATCTGTTTACATTTGACTATTGCCTTCTCTAAAAAAGATCACAGATATTTCAAATTTAGGTCGGTATAATGAAAGCACTGAAATGCCATTAATATCAGTAACTCAAATTTTGCTCTGAAACATCAGCATATTTAACATGAACTAAAGTTGATTACATCCCAGCCAGAGGTGTGCATTTGGATCTTCCTGAGCCTAAAATATACCCCAAAAATACCGATAAGGTATTTTCCGGGTATATTTCAGCATACCAAAATTATTCAGGATTATTTTATTTTTTTTGGAAACTGGAGGGGGGAAATCCCAAAAAAAATCCCGGATATTTTTGGGAACCAGGAAGATCTGGGAAGCAGTTGAGATGCTGGGAGACTGCTCTCCGCATATCAGCTGTTTCCTCCACCCTGCTTCTTCTGCAGTCCATTTAAACCAGGCTGGTTTAAAGGGACTGCAGGAAAGATTGAGGAAACAGCTGAGAGGTTGGTAGACGGCTCCCCTGTTATCAGCCCCCCCCCCACTTCTTCTGCAGGCTGGTTTAAAGGTAGTGCAGGAAACATTGGGGAAACAGCTCAGAGGATGGGAGACTGCTCCCCGCCTATCAGCTGTCCCCACTTATATAGTCCATTTAAACCAGGCTGGTATAAACCAGGCAGAAAATATTGGGGAAACAGTTGAGAGCTGGTAGCCGCTGCTCAGCTGTGTTCTGTGGCTTTGCTGCTCCTGGGTTGTGGTTTTTTCCCCATCTCGGATCTACTGGAACCCCCAAATACTTTGTTGGTATTTGGATCCGGGATTTTTCAGACTCAAACCGAAAGAAACTGGGGGGGGGGGACTTGCACACCCCTAATCCCAGCTATCCCTTCAATTAGCCGTACTTGAGAAAACTCTAAAACAATAGTACATAAAATACTGTTACAATTGTGCAAATAGAGTCTAAAAATGCCAGTGGCATTTAAACAGTGCAGTGCTATCCACGGTAATTACTCCAGTCATGATTTCAATGGTTTCAGATTAGAGTAACTTTGCATAGGATGGCACTGTAACAGTACCACCTTAGGCGAAGTTACTCCTTAATAAGCTCATTGACATCATTGGACTCAGTAAGGTATAACTCTGCTTAAAATGGAACTCTGAATCACCTAACCATATTGTAGGTTACTTGGTGTCTTGGAAATTAAGGTACCTTATTTAAATTTTTTAAAGTAGTTACATTTTTTGCCAAGGAAACTCACATTTGCGAAGAAGCTCCAGGTGGCTCCAAAGGATTTCTCCACGTGGGACTCTCTGGAAGAAGTCTTCTTGACTGAGACTGCACAACTCTCTCCCAGGAATGCTAAGAGTATTGAGGTCTATATCTGTCATGCTAAACTCCTTCATCACCCATACGACCCAGTGCAGGACCTGGTCAGTTGACCACTGTACTGGATCTAAGAGAAAGAGAGAAATACCCTTTAAGTATTTTTTTTCAGTATTGTAATAGGTTATGCTATGCTATTTTCATTTTACATTCATGAAAACAGCCCTCAAAATAAAAACAGGCATAATAAAAACCCCAACAGATCTATGCAGTTGAAGCAATTATAAATGAACAAAATTAATACTGGAATGTGTGTTTGTGTGTGTTTGGAAGGGGGGTGATTGATAAAATGACCTGGAGAAAAGAATTAAGCACTTCCTCTCCTCTCCTGGTTCCAATCAAATCTGTAGCACCTTCTAGCTGCATTTCAGTTGGGAAACATACATATCACTTTTGCTTGTTCAGCCTTAAGTTATCCTACATTATTAAAACAGAAGCACACTTAATCTTTTCAACATCAAAACAAAAGGAAAAATGAAAGATTCTGGATTTTTACACAACCCTGTTTCCAAATAACAGTTATTGCCTACAGCTATTTGAAAAATACAGACAAGGGTACTTTTATGCAGTCTTCTTTCTTCTAGCTCCAAAATGGCTGCTTCCCACATGAAGCTGCCTTATACTGAGGCAAACATTTATCTATGTAAAACAGAACCCTTTTTATTCTGACTGGCAAAATCTCTCCAAGATCTCAGGCAATTCATTTAAAGGGAAGTGATTCCATTAAACCCAAGGGCAGCTCCATGCAAAACATGTGCCCTACTACTGCAACCTCCTTTCAAGTTATTTCACAGTAAAGTAAAACGCTCTTAGGGCATCAGATGATTTATGACTGGGTAAACAGGAAATTATTCAAGAGATAAAAGTAGCAGGAAATTTAGATGTCTTAGATCAAGGCTTGAAAAAACCCAGGTGCCAGGTTTCCATTGGGCATAAATGTTATTGTGGCATCTAGTTCAATAAATCTCTTATCTCAGTTTGGCTGCTCCTGTTCTCAACAACTCATCAGGTTTACTCCTCCTTCCTGGACACAAATGGAGGCCCTTGGCCAGCTTTGGAAAGCTCTGACTGGCCCAGCAATGAGAATGAGATGAACCTTTCTGCACCTAGTCAAGTTCCTCTAATTACCACCCCCCCAGCCAAAATTGAGTTAGCTTTGGAAAACTCCACCCCTTTCTCATTATTAAGGTCCAGGAGAATATTCATAACTTGAAAAGTTGTAATTTAAGATCCATATGGCATTAATGCATCTTAAGTAAGCTGGAGCCCTGAGAGGCATACAGAATATCTTGAGAATGGCTTCAATGAGATGCTAACAGTCCCTTGGGTCCTATTTGATATATATATTTAACAGTTGTGCTGTTCTCCAAAAAAATGGGTGATTTATATTTGGGTTAGAGATAATCTTTTTATTGTGGTGATGATAACCAGAGTTACTTCTTAATTTATTTAAGTACAATGACACATATAGTATTAACATTCTGAGAAATTGTGAAAAAAATCAGGATCAGGTTTTGTGGTAGTAATAAGTATAAAATGGTTGCATTAAAATATGAAACGCTGATTTTATCTCTAATTTGTCAAGGACAATTTTGGATTTTTATTGTAGTGTTAAATCTAAAGAAATTAGTTCTGTGAATAGGGATCGGCACAAACTGGCTCAAGGACCAAAATTCAGCACGAACTTTACTGGTTTGAAGCCCCCGAACTGATGTTTGGGGAAGGCACGATTCCCAAACATTTACTGGACTTTTGTCTGGTTCGGCTGTTCGGGGCCATTTAAACCTAACAGCTGGGCAGTGCGGGGTCTGCAGCTGAGCTGTTAGGCTGAAATGGCTGGCAGCCATTTAACCCTTCTCAGGCAATCCCCACCTTTTCTCCCAGCCACGGTGAGCCGCGGCCAGGAGAAAGGGGGAACCGAACTCACTGGACTAACTCGGGGGGGGGGGCTTTTGGCTCAGTTCAGGGGCCACCCCAACCAGATTTGTTAGGTTCATGCCCATCCCTACTTGTGAATGTGTTGTTAGAAAATGATTATTTATTTATTTATTTTATTACTTCAATTTATATACCGCTCACCCCCTAAGGGCTCTAAGCAGTTTACATTATACATTTGATGCAAGCTTCATTTACTGCCTGCGCCACCGCTCCCTGTTAGTGGCAAATACTATTCAATCTATTAATGAACAGTTATTTAGTTAGTTTCACTACATCTTCCAGAAACATTAACATATCTAAAAATGTTAAACATCAAACCTTTAATAATTCAGCGACAAAAGTGAATTTAGAAAGCCTCATAAAATGAAAGCTAACAATTTAGCTAATTCTCCAACAAACCTTCTGAAAACATCAATTAGTTCAATCTGGATCTCTCTAGAAAATTAATGTTTATCTGAAAGGCTGCTTTTCTACTGCAATTTAGTCATTTGAAAAGACAACAAAAAGTTACATCCAAGTACACTAGAAACCTCCCAAGAGTAAATGCAATTGTAAACAACAGTGCAGGTAGTTTGAACACTCAAACAATAACATTACCTTTTTTCTGTAAATGATTCCCCTGACACTCTTAAACAAACTTAAGATATGAAACAAACATATACAGTTGAAATAGAATGCATATTCTTTCTAAACATCATGTTGTGACTGCAACAAATTATAAGCCCTACAAATCTAAGCAGAGCTTCTCTGCAAATTTAAAGATAAACATGCACTCCAAACACATGTAATTTTACCAGTGTCGATAATCACCATAAGGAATTCCTAAGCGTTCCTGTTCTTTCCGGTAGCCTTCTAATGCTGCAGCCCATCGAGTTACTTGTTCAGATGTTTCATCAGATATGGTGGTAATATGCTTTGTTCCATCCAGCGTTATCACTTGAGTTTCTTCAACAAGGTGTGCTTCAGTTTCAGTATGATGAGCATCTGGGTCAATAACTACCTCAACGGTTTCTACTGGCTTTACAATTTCAAGGATGTTTAACTTGGGCTCTATTCCTGAATGCAGAAAGGGAAGGTGGTAAACTAAACAAACTTCACAAAAACAGCAGGTTATAGACAATGAAAACATTACAGAACAGTTCTATTTTTATTCAATACCTGTTCTTATACCATTCTTCTAAAAAGTTTCTAATAAAGTCTTGAGACATCAGCCTCTCTCTTAACCTCCATAACAATAATATAATTTGCTTCTTCAGCCACAGTAAATATTATATTTACCAAAACAGTTCACAACTTGAAAACCTTTGATTCCAGAGTAAGAAACCATCAGTTTCACATTAAAATCCTCCTTCAGCCACTATGATGGTGGAGATTTTTTTTTAAAATAACGTTTTTAGTAAAACTGCACCATATTTCACCAACACTGAAGGACAGGATTAGTTGTGACCCACACTGGTTCATGCCCCCTCATTTACTTTTTTTACTGCTAGAACTAGAACACTAACTGTGTCCCAGTAAAATGGGAAAATGAAAGCATGATACTCCCCAAAGTTATCGGACCATGATGACCTCAGCAACAGAATGTTGTCTGTTATAATATGCCATTTCCATAATTTTTACTTTAAGTCCTTTGAGACTCAATTATATCCCAAGTGGAAAACATCTGTCAGCAACTCACAGATTTAATTTATATATCTGTATCTATATATCTATATCTATCTATCAATAGACAGATTCATTCTTTACACAGCAGTTAAAACTTTCAGTTATAAAGATTCAATGGCGTTTCCCACAAACACTTGAGATTTTTTGCTGGAAAAAGGTATTGTATTTGGCTAAGAAGATTATTTCAAATCTCTCCATTAGTCACTACAACAGCTGACTACAGTATGTGTAAATCTGTTTGAACACTGAACCAATTCTTGAACTGAGCTGGCCTTGCAAGGACTGAGCCAGGCATCACCATCTTCCCCATCTTGCCTCTTGTGTGGAGCCTGGTAGGCCAGGCTTTGTCTCCCCACCTCACCTCAGGCTGGCTAGGCACTGCCTCTCCGACCTTGTGCAGGGCTAGGGTGGGTCAGATGTAGTCCTCCTGTCAGAGGACTGGCTGGTGCAAGTCATTGGCCACCCAAGAAGTATCTAAGTGCTCTCAATGGCCAATCTGCCCCTGCCTGGGAGATTAGACTGAAAATTTATAACTGGCCCAAGGTCATCCAGTGAGTTTCGAGGACAGAATGGGGATCTGAGTTCCTAGTCTGAAGTTCTAACCATTATACCACGCTGGCTTTTGTGGGGTGTTGGCCCCACAAAAAAAAATGGAGGGAAGACTCAAAGCCCAGTAACTAAGCAGAATTTTAAAAAGGAAAAAAAGTATACACCAAGTAGCAACAAAAATATAACAGTGGTGGCAGCTCTACACATAAGTTTCTATAATAAGTTTCCAAGTATCCAAAAACAGGTCCATATAAAACTATCATCTATATGCCATGCATTCAAATATTTCAGATTTTTCTGTAAACCTGGGGCAATTTTCAGGTTTGTTGGAAGATCTGTCTGGTCTGTTTACAGCTCCAATCCCCAGCTTTAGGTATCCTCAACTTTATATAGATACTTTTCAGTCTGTGGAGCCCAAGAATATCAGCCAAGATCCTTGGACAGGTGAGACATACTACCTGTGTTCTTGACACTTGCCCTTCCTGGCTAATAAAAACTTGCAGAGGGAGACTAGCTAAGTGGTTAAGGTGAGTGGTAAATGCTTCCTTGAGAATGGGAGTTATGCTGCCTGTGCTCAAGGAGACACTGATTAGTTCTATTCTGGGGGGAAAAAACATACCTGAGACCTACTATGTTAGAGAACTTCTAGCCAGTCTCTAATCTTCCATTCCCGAGTAAGGTGCTAGAGTAGGTGGTTGTTTCTCAGCTCCAGGGATTTTTGGAAGAAACTGATTTTCTGGACCCATTTCAATATGGTTTCAGACCAGGGTTTGGAACAGAAACTATTTTCATTGCCTTGGTTAATGTCCTCTATTGAAAACTAGCCAGGGGAAATGTGACCCTGCTAGGTCTGCTGTATCTCTCAGCGGCCTTTAATACTATTGACCATTGTATCCTACTGAGCTACCTCTCAGCACTGGGACTAAAGGGTGCCATGTTTGACTCCTAACCAGGGGGATCAGTCTTAAAAGCTAGTGTTGGGGGACTCCTGCTCTGCCTTATGGCCGCTGACCAGTGGGGTTCTGCAGGATTCCATCTTATCCCCCACGCTATTTATTTATCTATATGAAGTCACTGAGATCATCAGGAGATATAGACTGCAGTGTCATCAACATGAGGATAATACCCAGCTTTATCTTTTCCACCTAATTCCGAAGATGCTATTGAAGTTCTGAGCTAGTGCTTGGAGTCAGTAAAGGGCTGGATGAGGGTAAACATGCCAAAACCTAATCCTAACAAGACAGGGGTTTTCTGGGTTAGTAAGGCCTGGGACTTGAGATCTCTCCTGGCTTGGATGGAGTTATACTTCCCATAAGAAGCCAGTTCACAGCTTGCGAGTGCTGCCTTACAATGCAGTTGCCTTAGAAAATCCAGTGGCAATAGTGGCTTGGAGTTCCTTTGCCCAGCTTCAGTTGGTGTGTCAGCTGCATCCATTCCTGGGTCAGTCAGATCTAGCCACAATGACCCATGCCATAGTTTCATCTAGATTGGACTACTGCAATACACTCTACTTAGGGTTACCCTTGAAGAGTGTCCAGAAGCTACAGCTAGTGCAGAATACTGTGGCTAGATTGCTGGTTGGGGCTAACTATTGGGAGTATGTGACCCCAATACTATAGCAATTACATTATTTATTTATTCAAATTTGTACCCCACCCTCCCAGCCCAAGGTGGCTTACATAAAATCATCAGAAAACATAATGAGAGATCTTTCCTCTATGTATCTTGACCTTTTCATCCTTGTCTCAAACATCACTTACCAATCTGTTCCTGAGCCCAATTCAGGGTGTTGGCTGTCCTTTAAAGCTCTACATGGCTTGGGACTGGGGTATGAAGGACTGTCTTCTCCCATACATTCTTGTCCAAGAATTAAAGATCACAGGGACAGGCCCTCTTGACTGTCCTACCAATCAAAGAAGCTCCTCCAGTGGGCACACTGGAGAGGCCTTTTCGGTGACAGCCCCAAAATTATGGAACAACACTCCCCAAGAGGTACACTTAGTCCCCTCACTTTTGGTTTTCAGGGGGCAGATGAAGGCAATTTTATTTAGGACTGCATTTATTTAGTTTTTATTTATTGGCAGTCCTAACTGAGATTTTAAACCATCGTCTTTTATGTGTTTTATAACCATAGTTTTATTTATATTGTCAGCCTCCTTGAGTGGGTTTTTTTGCCTGTTGGATTAATTTTGCTGCATGTTAGCAAACTGTGAACTGGCTTTCTTGATGTTTTAGGTCTGTGTTGCTATTTCACTTTTTTAGATTTTAAAGGCTTTTTACAGGTTTTAACTTCTGTTTGATACTCATTTAGAAAGGTGATACTGAATTATAAAAAATTTAAACAAAATTGTATCCATTTTACAAGCTTATCACAAAATAATGCAATCTATCAAAAATTGATAGCTCTGTGTTCTGTCTATAACTGGATTTTAAAATATATTTCTTTTTAGAAAAGCTAATAATAAGAAGACCTGGTTGGCCCAGTATAGCCCAATCTTGTCAGATCTCAGAAGCTAAGCAGGTAGGGCTGCCAAATCCCCCCGGGGGCGGAAATCCCCCTGCCCCAGAGGCCCGTTCCCAGACGCTGAGGAATCGGGCCCCGGGGGGAACCCCGCCCCAGTGTGCACGTCACAGGGAAGTGACGTTATGACGCCAGGCACGCTGGGGGGCGGGGCCACGGCCATACAAGGGAAAACTCTATGGTTTTCCTCCGGGAGCCGCGCAGGAGTCCCCCGCCGGAGAGGTCAGTAACATTTGGCAACCCTATAAGCAGGGTCAGTCTTGATTGTATTTGGATGGAAGATTACCAAGGAAGTCCAGGGTTGCTATGCAGAGGCAGACAATGGCAAACCACCCCTGAATGTCTCTTGCCCTGAAAACCCTGGGCCATAAGTCAGCTGTGACTTGACAGCACTTCCCACCACTACCAATAATATTTACAAATGTAAGGATTTGTAGGTGTTTAACCTTATTGCTTTACATATGCAGCCAAAAAGGTGGCATAAGATTTTTATTTATTCCATTCGATTTCTTAGCCACTCCGGGACTCATACAACATCAAAAATACTGTATTTGTTATGGATGACTATGCCCCTTAAAATTTGGGGTTGGTTCCTATATCCAAAGAAAATATGTCAAGGCCTGGCCTACAGATACAAGATTGAATCCAAAGTTGCCTCTCCCAGTCTTCCTCCTCCCTCTGTTCCCAAGGGTTCCTTGAATCCTGAGAGCAGAACTTTGGGAGCCTCAGTGGGCTGCACAAGTGAAGTGGTGATGAAGTCCCATTTTACCAGCTTCACTTTGCTAGAACTAGTTTCGAGCCAACACAAGAAACTCAACATACCACAGAAATTCACCATATTACCTTGCCTAGATATTACTTGGACGCTAAGTTGCACCGTTCCATCTGTCTTGACACCTTGATCAAAGAGACTGCGATCTGGATCCAGCTTGGGGGGGGGGGAGGAAATCATTTAAATAAGTTATAAAACCAATTGCAATACTAATCACTATGAGTATCAAATTAAATCAAAAACCTTTATTAGGCATTTGTTACAAATTGCATAAACAGATCTCTCAGCATGAAGAGAAAGCACAAGTAAACAATCATAAAGTTTTTAAAAACAAGGAAAAAGGAACTTATCCAAAGTTATCAATAATCAGAACAAAATTCAAATTCAGTGGTACCTTTAAGACCAACAAAGTTTTTTACCCGTCCATACATATAGGTAGACGTTGATGTTTCCTTTCTTACAAAATGCAAAAACCTGGACATTATATCCAAGGGACTGAGCATTAGGAATCCAGTACAATCTACTTATGCTACAAACTATGCAGAAAATCTATGTCTCATATTCTCCAAGAAGCTACTCAAACATCTGATCAGTGTCCTGTCCTATAAACAGAAGCTGATCAAGATGAAAATCTCGACCTGGACATTTCTATAAAGAATCAGCCCTACTCAGCAAAATTTCCACAAGAAAAGACAAGCCATCTACTGCTCTCAACTGGATTTGCTGAAAAAACAGAGAGAGCAAAACCTCTCTAACCCAGGGGTTTCAAACTCATTTATTATGAGGGCCATATCTGACATAAATGAGACCTTGTTGGGCCAGGCCATGTGTGTCATAAAATGTAATGCCAGGTAGTAGAGATATAAACTTCATAAAGGACACAGACAGACACAATTAAAGATTTTTAAAACTTTAAATAAAACATGCTTAAAACACCAGCACTGTTGCAATATTTCACCTATTTAACAGTCTCTGATAACTGACACCTCTTGCTCTGAATTATTGCATCAAAATGCCTGTGCTGTAGCAATCCTGAGTATGTTGTTCAGGTGTGTATCTGTAAGCTGCAAACCTACTTTAGATTTATTGACATTCATTACAGAAATCTCATGCTTAGTGTTTTGAGCCTAGGACCCAGGGGAGAACGTAAAATGGCTGGGCATTGCGAGCTTTTGTATATAAGTTGCTTCATTTGCTGGTCAAGAACATGAGAAGGCACCCTGACACAGACTGAGGGCTGTTTGTTTGTCTATAAAACTATAGTCTTCCCCGGATAACTAACTACAACTTCCTACAAAGGAAATGTGCTGGGTGAACTTGGTCTGAATACACATTCTCAACCTAATCCACCTCACTGGTTTGTTGTTATTCTTCCTCTAAAATGATTCACATTGCTTTCTTACTGAGAAAGACTGGATCATGAGGGCATGAACACAGTGAAAAGGTGGAGGGAACCCAGTTGCACCCAGGAGAGCCCTGGCATAAGGAGCCCAACAATCTACACACACACTGTAGCAAGGCACACAAAAGCTCATACCTTGAACAAAACTTTGTTGGTATTTCTGCTGTGTAATTGCGGCAGCCCAGCAAAGCAAGCTCTCCCTCGTTCCCTCCCTGCCTCCCTTCATGGAGTAGTCTCAGCCAGTGGAAGGAAAGAAAGGCTTCCCTTTGTCTCTGTATACGATTGAGACAGCCTGGCCAGGAAGCGAGTTCTGTTTGGTTCCCTCCCTACCCCTGGGAGAAGGAGGGGGAGGAGCCTCAGCCAGTGCTTTAACAGACTCTCAATTCCACAGGAGAGGTTTGTCTATCTATCTCTCCTGTGCGATTGAAAGAGTCTGGTAAAGTAAGCTGTGATGCAGCAGGAGCAGCAGAACTGGAAAAGGAAGCAGGAAACAGCCAGGGCCTTGCAGGCTGGATTGCAGCCCTCCAAGGGCCTGATCTGGCCCCCGGGCCTCATGTTTGATACCCCTGAACTATGCCGTCTCAGGCTTATTCACTTGCTCATCTTCTAACACTCTATAAAATATTAAATGCCAACAATGTCCTTCCATTCTCTACATAGGGCAAACAGGTTAAACCCTACACCAAACGATAAGTAAAGGTAAAGGTTCCCTTGCTCGAAAGCCAGTCGAATCCGACTCTAGGGTTGCGGTGCTCATCTCCGTTTCAAAGCCGAAGAGCCAGCGCTATCCGAAGACGTTTCCGTGGTCATGTGGCCGGCATGACTAAACACCAAGGCGCACGGAACGCTGTTACCTTCCCACCAAAGTGGTCCCTATTTATCTACTTGCAATTTCTTGCTTTCGAACTGCTAGGTTGGCAGGAGCTGGAACTAGAGACAGGAGCTCACCCTGTCTTGCGGCACCCGGGTTTTGAACCGCTGAACTACTGACCTTCCACAGCCTGCAGTTCAGCGTCTTAACCACTTGAGCCACCGCAGCTCAAACACCATAATAATGTACACCAAACGATACATTGACACAAATCTGACATTAAGAATCACAAGACTGAGAAACCTGTAGGAGAACACTGCACCTTCCAATGGGTGAGCTCACAGTAGCTTTTATATTGCAAAGGAACTTCAAGAACTGAGCAGAAAGGGAAATTGCTGAATTACAAGTTATTACAACACTTGGAACAAACATCCCAGGACTTTACAGGGATAGTGGTTTCTTTTCTCACTACATATGCTAATCTCATTCAGTCCTTACATCTGTATTCTCACCAAGAAGGGCCATACATCCTCTTTATTTTATTGTATTTTTATTGTGTTTTTATTTGGAATAGTAGATTGGAATAGTGACTGTAATGCAATGAATACTATAATGTAATGTAATTTGGAATGGTACATTGGAATGTATTTCTCTGGTATGGTGTAAAAGGAGACATAGCACTGCACAACCAATCACCCCACCTTAAAGAAAAAAATACTGTTAGCTACCTCCCTGCTTGAGAGGAGATGGATAGAGCGTAATAACAGGGTCTAAGTTAATTACTCTCAGCATTCCACAATTAAGGGTACATTTACACATCAGTCTCCAATTTTGATCTGTTTATTTGCTTCACTATATTCCCCCCCGGAATTAAATCCAAACAAATAGTGACCATATAAACTAAGCTTGTTATTCCTGTTTGATCCTTGCATCTGTTAAACATCTTCATTGTGCTTTATGTTAATTTGTTGCTCACCCTCTACCCATATGTATGGAGCGGTAACTTCCTTTTCAATGTATCTGAACAAGGGTGCATGCACATGAAAGCTTATACCTTGAATAAAACTTTGTTGGTCTTAAAGGTGCCACTGAACTTGAATTTCATTCTGTTGCTTCAGACCAACACGGCTATCCACCTGAATCTATCAATAATCAGTTCCTGGAGCCTCATGACAGACAGGAGATACCTAGCAACTTGATTAGGGATATGAGGGTTCTGTCAGATAGACCTCCATCACATCTGCTAGCTCTCAGCTGGCCCAGTTACTTAGGATAATTTGGTCCCTTGCGTCCCTCTCAGAAAGGACCCAAAACAATAGTAATTCAATTATACGCTGTGAGGCATTTGTAAGCTTTTTTGCAGATAAAGTCCTGTCACTCTGCCGTGACCTCCCAGCCAATATTGATACAGTAAGTGAACTGGAGGTCCCTTGGCTACCTTTGGATTCAGTTTTTGATAACTTCAGCCAGTTCTCCCGGCTTCAACCGTCAAGAGTCTGGGCGTGATCCTGCATGCCACCGTGTCTATGCAAGCCCAGGTAGTGAAGGTTGCCAAGCTGGCATTTTTCCAACTGTATCAGGTTAGGCAACTGGCTGTCTACCTATCTCATCCTGACCTAGCCACAGTAATGTATGCAACAGTCACCTCCAGGACAGACTACTGTAATTCGCTCTACGCTAGCCTACCCTTGCACCAGACTGTTCCAGAACGCGGCCACGCAGGTCCTTACAGGGACCCCTTGGATGGCACACATTCATCCAGTGCTATATGAGCTGCACTGGCTCCCGGTGAAGCACTGGATCCAGTTCAAGGTCTTGGTTTTGACATTCAAGGTCATTAGCAGTCAGGGACCTGAATATCTTCAGGACCACCTCTCCCAATATGCCCCTGGAAGAACGTTACGTTGTAGCAATAAGAACCTCCTGGTGATCCCCAGTCCGAGATCCAGCTGTCCTCGACTAGGGCCAGGCATTTGGTTGAGGATAGCAACAGTCTGGCACTCTCACACTCCCACGTTTCCCCATTGCTCCGTATTTCCCCTCTATCCAGGTGTCAGGTGGATACTGAAATTATCCATCATCTTGGACACAGTACTGTTTTTCTGATGAATTCTTCTATCATATTTTAATGTTGTTTTAATTTACTTATAAATTGTATTTGCCTTTGATGTAAGCTGCCCTGAGCCCCGTTTGAGGGAAGGGCAGCCTAGCAAATTGAAATAAATAAATATTAAACTAAGTGCATGTCAGAATGGCCTCTGAACATATGTAAAAGCGGGCTAATTAAAGAGTACCTCAGCTCAGAATAAAAATTACAATAAAGCAAAACATGAGATCAAAATAATCACTATAGGTAAAGAAAAAAACTCTAAAATAAGTGTTTCATATAATTAATGAGCTTTATATGATTTTATTGCGATATTGGCATTCCAATGTTCAGCCAAAACAGTCTCACAAAGCATTTCACAGTTCTACAGGTGACAATGGGATGGGATTTAGTGGTCTGTCACCAGAAGCAGCAGATTTACCATGCAGTCCCCTTTTTGACCCCAGAACAGTTAATTCACTGAGCACTAGGATCCATGAGGACAAAAAGATACAAGGTGAAGAAGGGCTGTAGTAATATAAGGGGATAAACAGCCTTTTCTTGTCTTCCCACCAGGGGACTTTGCCCACTCTTCCTTCCATCAGTGGAGCTGTGCTTGTGGGAAACAAGGGAAAAGGTAATGTTTTCCCCCTCCCCATGACAGCCCCTCTGGAAGAAAGAGGGGGATTTTGCCCCTCTTCCTCATCCTCACCAGCCTCATGAACTTCATGATTTGCCACTGCACATTCCCACTACCATTGGAATCAACTTTCCATTGAGTCTGAAGGGACTACTGGGGCAAGACGGATTCAGCAAAAATTTGCATCCCCCACACCTTCCACTGAAAAACTGCTGTACCCAATGCACTGAAGAGTTCCATGGATTCTCAGCTAAGCTACATTTATTTATTTATTTAGGGATTTATATCCCGCCCTACCCAGCGGCTCAGGGCGGCTAACAAGCGGCAATGCCGAATTTAAAATTTAAAACAGTAAAACAATATTTCATGCATAATAAAATCGGTGCTCTAATAATCTACATAAAATCACCAAGATGCGCACATTCCACATTGGCGGCCGACTTTTTTTAATGGCATGAGCACCAGGAATGATATTCTCCCCATTTCTGCCGGGCGACATCTACCCCCACCCCCCCCCGGAAATGGGGTAGATGGATAATGAAATCTCAGTGGTGGAATAGTGGCAGCAGCGGCTCCTACTCAAAGGCCTGGCAGAGGAGCTCCGTCTTGCAGGCCCTGTGGAACTGTACAAGGTCCCGCAGGGCCCAGATCTCCTCTGGGAGCTCATTCCACCAGGTAGGAGCCGTCACTGAAAACGTCCTGGCCTTAGTTTGGGCAACCTTCACACTTCGGGGGCCTGGGACTTCCAGGAGATGGAGATTCCCCGATCGCAGTGCTCTTGAGGGAGCATACGGGAAGAGGCGGTCCCTTAGGTAAGCCGGACCCTGGCCATTCAGGGCTTTAAAGGTGAGCACCAGCACTTTGAAGCGAATCCAGTATGCCATTGGCAGCCAGTGCAGGGCTTGCAGCACCGGCCGGATGTGGTCTCGCATAGAAAGGCCCATCAGCAGCCTAGCTGCAGCATTCTGCACTAGCTGCAGCTTCCGGATTTGTGCCAGAGGCAGCCCCAAGTAGAGAGCGTTACAGTAGTCCAGCCTTGAGGTGACCGTCGCATGGATCACAGTGGCCAGGTCTTCCCGGTCGAGATAGGGAACCAACTGCCGGGCCAGCCGCAGATGGTAAAAGGTTGACTTGGCACTACTAAAGAGATGTCTTGCTGCTTTCTGCTTTAAATTATGGGAACCTCTATGTTTCTTTACCCCCACAAACCCTTTTTGTGTATACTCGTGAAGCCACTGATTTGTAATGCCTTATGACTTCAAGCAGACAAACTAAACTCTAAATGAAAACAGTAAATTTATAAAACAAGTATTTCCCACTACAGATCCAAAATATACAGATCCAAAACATTTTAAGTTGTTCTTGAAATTTCAATCAAGCATGATGCTTCTAACACAAAGCCCTATAATTAATGTTTCAGCACATACGGACTTCCTGCAGCTTTTCCACACCCTCCAGCATGAACCACCCAAGCTAAACCAGCTAGAATATGACAGAGAAGTGGCAAGCTGAATGGTTGAAAAGCCTGCTGAATTAAATAAAAATTCTGTGCTTGCACTGATGTCAGTTTTACTAGTGTTGTGCATCTCCAGGAATCTTTACAGGCCTCCATGTTAAGAAAGGGATAAGGCAGCAATAGCTATCCTGAGTACAGTGCCAGTGATCAGACTACTTCTGACAAAGAGAAGTCACCCTAAAGCAGTTCACAGAGCACTACTCCGGAGTTGCAAGAGTATTACAATATTCCTTTTCTCCCTTGTATAGTTAATCTTTGGGGTTGGATCTCAAAGTATTATTACAACAGCATTTACTTTGGTGAAGGAGAGAAGGGCCATTTTGCCAACCCCTCCTATCCACTGCAGAGTCCCATTTTGCCTCCTGCACTCTTTTCTGCAGGACTCTTGACCACCAGGAGCAGATTTTTAGCTTTGTGGGCTGCAGCGAGAGGCCAAGGTGAGGAATTCCTACACCACCATCTTCACTCAAGCAGCAGTACTTTGGATCTAACCCTTTGCATTAGCTAATTTATTTCATTCCACTTTTTTAGAAGGTGAACCCACCACAAATGTGAGAGCTCAAAATACATCCTACACAGAAGCACCCATTTCTTCCACATCACAAAACACCCAGGAGAGCCAGTTTGGTGTAGTGATTGGTGTGTCAGATATGGATCTGGGTGACCCAGGTTCAAATCACCACTCTGCCATGGAAGCTTACTGGGCCAGTGACACACTTTCAATCAAACCTACCTCATAGGGTGTTTTGTGAGGATAAAATGGAGAGGAGAATGATGTAAGCTGCTTTGAATCCCCATTGAAAAGAAAAGTATGGTATAAAAGAAATAAGTAAATAAAAAAGTGACTATTCCCCAGTGTACTGGGCTGACTATGGATTTCAGTTTTTTGTAATCAGAGATGATACACTCCAAAGGAAAATCAAAGGAAGAGTACAACCTGAACTTTAAATGGAAGCTTAGGTTTTGTTTTACCTGTATATCCTGGAGGCAGATTTCATGTGCTTCCAAGGAACACTGAAGTCTTGGTTCCAAAAGTTTCTTAAGATTTCCAACTGGTTCATTGATATCAATAGCCTGACTCACAAACTCTGCAGTGGTGTAAGTCTGCTCAACGATGCTGAAGGAGTTAGAAAGAGTCTTTTACTGGATTTTAATGAAAACTACTATTAAAATTACATAGTGTTAACATCTCTTTAGTAACAATTAGTATCCCTATGGCAGATTACAACTTCATTTTAACAACTTAAAAACCCCCCCAAAAGCAGCTAAAAACATATCCAAGACCAGCTTTGAACTCCAACTGCCCAACCTTCTGTCCCATCTGTGTCTTAGTTTGCTCTGCCTTTGTTGTGGTTATGAATCAGAACTCATGCACAGTTTTCAGGGAGAGAGACGTACACCTCCCATTTTCAGAAGTTTCTGAGAATTGGTATATTAAACTAACTGCACCAAATTTCAGCTTGTGTCCATTATGAAAATGTCTTACTCCTAAAGTACTTCTACCAGTATAAGGTCTTCTGGAGTGACTTGAACTTACAGAGAGAAAAAATAAAAGTACAATGTACAGAAAAGTATGTCCTTAACGAGTAACACAGAAGAAGCTTCACATTGTATCAGCAAGAATCTGTTATTATGTGGAGCCTCATATGAAAGCATTCCACACAATATGCCAAGTAAAGCCTTTTGACTATCTTTCCTGAACTTGAAATGCAACTACGCAATGTGAAAGGCAACTAACATCAGAGGCAGCATAGCACCTGGCTCCTTTCTCCTTGGCTTGCATTAACACTAAAGACATGGGATGAAAAGCTAAAACATGCACTTAGCAATGGGGATTTATATTGTGTGGGGAATGGTAGGAAGAGGAGATACGTTATTTCCTTATTTTATTACAAACAGCCTTGAACAATGAGAAAAAGCTGTATGGAAATATATAATTTTAAAGAACAAAGTATGAAAAAATACATATATATCACCCATCTGAACTCTGCTTACCTTTCTTCAGTACACTCCTGTTTCTCAGTTCCATCAATTTCAATTTCTATCAGTTCTTCTGCTTCTCTCTTAGTCATGGCTGTAATATTTCAAGAGGCAGCCTGCAAAAGTAAAAGAAAATTATAAATTAACAACTAGTTACTTATTATTTATTTAAAAAATCTGTATCTTGCCTTCCTGCCCAATTAAGGCCATCAAGACTGCAAATAATTAAAAAGAGCCAACATCTAAAAACAATGCACAAGCACATTTATATCTATATAGATATATCAGCAATTTTTTTAAAAAACACAAGATCAGTTAGGGTTCACCAGACCAAGCAGAAAAGTCTTTACTTGCAGAAGAAGTGATGGTAATAGACAAATACCCCTGGGGACGGAATTCTGTAGTTCTGGTGACATAACCAAGCAGGCCATATCCTTGGGATGCCACCTGACTACCTGCAGAAGATAGGGATACTCAAAGCAAGGCCATTGAAGACAACTGTAATGGTCAGGTAGGTTCATATAGAAAGCACTGATCCTTCAGGTATGCTGGTCCCAAACTGTGTGCAGTTTTAAAGGCAAATACCAGCACCCTGAATTAGAAGCAAACGAGGAGCTGATGTAGATGGAGCAATATTAGGATGATACAGTCCCTGCTACCTAATCCATCTATAGCTTCTGGACAGTCTTTGACAGCAACCTCATGTAGAGCACACTGCACTTATCTAATGTAGATGTTACCAGAGCATGCACCAAAGTGGCAAGATCTTTTCAACCCAGGAAAGGCCACAGCTGGCTCACCAGATGAAGCTGATGGAAGGCTGCCCTGTCCACTGCTGTTATGTGTTTATCCATCAGGAGGCTGAGGTTTAGCAACACATTCAGACTGCAAACCTGCTCTTTTAGGTTGAAATGCAACCCCATACAGAACAGGACACACAGCAAATCCCGGTCTTTCGGAAAACCAGTAGCACCTCAGCCTTGCCAGGGTTAAGCTTCAGTTTATTGGCTCTCATCTATCCCAAAGCTTCTTCTTGGCACTGGTTCATTTATTTATTTATTTATATACCACCCTCCCCAGATGGGCTCAGGGCGGTGATGATTTACACAGGCTCCTTGCGATCCACCAGAAGTGCAAGACAGTGCTGAATGTCATCGGCCTGCTGGTGACAACCTTTTCCAAACTTCTGGATGATCTCACTTAGTGGTTTCATGTAAATGTTGAAAAGCACATGGGATGAGATGTAACTTCATGGGATGCCACAGGCCTGAAGCTAAGCAGCAGTCCCAACTCTGAGAAATGGTCCAGAATGGTCCATGATCAACAATATCGACAGCCCTGAGAGATCCAGGAGAATCAACAGGGTCACACTCCCTCTGTATTAATACACAGACTTTTCGCTAACGAACAACAACCACAGATCCTGAGAGACCCCAAATATTTATTAATTTATTTTATACTCCGCCCTCCCCGCTGAAGCAGGCTCAGGGCAGCTAATTCTAAGAAAGCTTACTTGGAAATGTCCAATCAAGACCAAGATGAGTTAGTTTTTATTGCTAGAATCTACGAACTATTTTTAAAATTTTATACCAAATTTCAATCTGCAGTGAAATTAAGCATAGGAATGTTATTGTATAAATATGTGAGCAAGAAACTTTTTCTCCACCTTTGTAGTTCTGAAATCTACTTTCAAGGCATATGATAGCAGACAGATATATAACTAGATGATAAAAATAATTTCCCATATTTAACTTTCTCATTAATATTGTATGCATAGACATCCTTATAGTCCCTTAACTTGTGTATTACACCAAATGGGCCCCAACATATAGAAAATGAATCTTTTTAGAACCTTGCCTTCACAGCTTGCCATAGTCTTTGAAGTGTTGATTATATTTTTACTAGCAGCAAAGCCCATTGTAAAAGCAATACAACGAGCTCTAGAAAGATGTAATGTGTAACAAATGTATAGGCTGGAAGCAGGTTAAGTACAGTCTCGCCCGCCGCAAGCGCCAGCCAGCGGTGACCCTGCTCAGCTGGCCAAATCTGACCTCCCCCGGCTGGGCTAGCCCGAGCTGTGCAGGTCGGAGGTTCCAGCTGAGACAACATGGGGAGGCTGCTGGGCCACGGATGGCTGTCCATCCGGGGAAGCCACCCACTTCCCTCGTCCCTCCCTCCCGCTGTGGGGCAGGGGGTGCAGCTGGCCTGGGGTGTGGGGAGATGGGGAGAACGATGCCAGAGTCTGCTGCGGTAGACCAGGCTCGCTTACCCCCAGGCTGCCCTGCAGAGACGGCACCAATGAGCCAGTCTGCAAGCACACCAGTGGGCCCAGTGTAAGGCGAGGCAGGAGGCACCAGGAGATGCTGCACAGGATCCCCCCCCCCCGCAGCAGGCCTGCGGAGCCGCCACCACCGCCTCCAGCCGGGCTCTGCCTCTTCTGAGCGAGCCGCAGCAAACAGGTGAGCGGTGTCACCCTGCACATAATCTGGCGCTCCTCCATCCTTGACAGCGCCGCTATGACCTCTGTCTCCGGCCGTACCTTCCCAGCTGTGCGTTGCTGGCCGCCAGGCTTCTGCCAAGGCCTGCTCAGGTTGGGCCAGCCTGCACGCTTGGAGCCTTTGTCTCTCTGGGCCGAGCAGGGTTGTCTCCCGTCTGCCACTTTGGAGAGACCCTGCCAGGGCCAGGTGTGGGGAAACCAGGCCATCGCTGCTGGCACTGCATCGTGGCAAACGCGGGGCCCTTCAGCCAACTGTCTTCTGAGGAAATTTTTGGCCGGCGCCACTTCTGTGGGTGGGACTCAGGCAACATAGCCAGTGGATAGGGACAGCTTCTGAGTGACCCATCATGGAGTCAACTGATGTGTGGAATGTTCAGAAAGTGCCACCCCAAAACACAATTATATATAAGGAGGAATTCTGATTTTCAGTAAGGTATTGGCTACCAAGTAGTTCACAGGGATTAGAAAACAGTGCATTATGATGATGACAATTCAATAAACACGTTTCTGGAGAAGTTTCTCCAGTTGGCAGTTTCTGCCTATGGAGTGTAGGTGGAAGGCTCTTTACTGGATAGAGATCCAGCTGTGCCTACTTGATAAAAATAGAACTAACACCACTAGTACTTTTATTAACAAGAGCTGTTGTCCAGAGAAAATGAGACAACAGGGCAAGCACATTCTGCTAATAGTTTGGCAGTTCATAAGCAGCTACTAAATATTATTTAACAGGTCTGAAAATACAACACCTATGTTCTGTCTTACCAAGGCAAGGCTCCAGAGACCTTATAAATAGCAGTTGTGGAGGCACCTCACTGTGTTCATGGCTTTTGTGCACAGCTTAAAACACTTTTTACAAAGTAACTAGATGACCACCATCTCACACATTGAAGGAACAGTGGACTATCACCCTGAAATAGCTCCTCTAGTTTTTGACAGCACGCCTCTAAAATATCTGCAGTAACTTTATGAGAACCGAAAAAGTCCTTTAGACCAAGCTATAGGTATCCCAAGCAGAATCAGCTGTTGTACAGCACTTTGAATCCGGAGATGGTGAGAAGGTGCAGAATGCAACTTTTGACTACTCCATCAAGAGGATATACCTATACACTGCCGGCCAACCACCCATGTACGTATCAAGGGCTTGTATTTTGTTCACACGAAATAAGAGAGAAGGCGGCCGCCCAACATGGTCAATTCTCAGCCGGGCTTCTCTACAGGAAGGCCTGTCCACGCAGGGAGTGGAGGAACTCCTTCCCACCCACCAGTCACAGAAAATGAAGGCGAAAGCCCACCGAGGTGAGGCGGACCAGAGGGCACCGCGGGAGCCATTCCGCCTCAATCCAGGCCTTCCTCCCCCTCCCGCCCGCGGCGGCGCCTCCTTGTTGTTTGAACTCGGAACGGAAATGAGACTCGCGCCGCGCGGGGCAGAAACGGAAACAAAACACAAGAAGCAAAGAGGCCACGAGACCCCCCTCCGCCCCGGATACAGCGCGAGGCGCTTCCCTCTGCCCCCCCGCCCGCTCTCCTCCCTTGGCGTCGTACGCCCCGAACTCACCCGCCTCAGCCTCCGTCAGTGAAAGCACACTACGAGGGCCCAGCACAAGCAGAACAGCAATAGCCACTTTTCCTTTTTCTCCCTCTTCCCTCCGGCCTTGCCACGCGGAAAAGCCCTTTCCCGGAGGACTCGGAACGTTCCCTGCGAGTGTCAGTTTAGGAAAGCCCGGGACGCACTCAGGCTCGGGTAGCTTGGCCTACGCGGGAGGCCCTGGCGGGGAAAAAACGTACACACAATCCCCCCCGCGCAGGCACAAAAACTACACGTCCCGCCATCCTTTGCGAAAAGACGCAACTGACGCCAAACGCGCCGCCCACTAAGGAAACAAGCTTTTGCGAAACTCAGGACGCTTTAACCACGCTGTTATTTTAACTCGGAAGCAAATTCCTCCCCTTCCTGTGGAAGAACAGATTAAATTGCTTGCTCGGGGCTTTTAGTAGGTTTTATTTCCCTTTGATAAAAGATTTAAAGTGCGAGAGTTCCGAGTGACTTCGGCTTATACATCTGCCGCTGTACGGTGAATCCTATGGTGGACGTGTAATTGGGGACGGGAAGAGGGGAAGTATAAGCAAACTCCCAACATCCATTGCGTGTCTTAAAGGTGGTGCCATAGTGGTTCTAGGACAGATGTAGGTGACTGCTCTGCTGCTTGTTGGAGCCAGAAGGGTAAGGAGGGAGCGCTACGGGGAGAAATCGCGGAGGCTGGCCGTGTCTCAAAAAGGGATGCTGATCCTGTTTCCCCCACCCTACCGCCGGTGGCAATGCTTTTGGATTTCTTATTCTATACCCTCTTATAGGCTGATTTAGCCTAAAGCCCCCCCCCCCCGCCTTTTAACAAATTAATTTACTTTGAAGTAGTTCAGAGAGAATGATAGGCCTAAAACTAGCCAGTGAGCTTCGTATTTGGGGATTTGAACGTGGGCCTTCCCAGTCCAGTAATGTAAAGGTTGCTTCACCCAGGGTTCTTACTGTACAGGCTTATCAGCACAAACTGGCCCTAAAGGCCAATTGGTGAATTTCAAAAAGGGTATTTGTATTATGTGCTATCCAAGGATGTGTTTGTGTGGATTACCATACAAGTCAGGACAAACAAGCACTTTGCTGTAATTTTGAAACTTTTTTTTAATAATGTAATTTGTGTTTACATGTTTGAGATAATTGTTGATAATTTGTCTTCCCAGCTGAATCACCTGCAAATTCATCATGGTTCTTCAACAGTTCTTCAGGTTTTCTTACATTTTCCGTTCTGCTGTCTCCATCCACTTACGTAGAAACATTGGTTTTTCTGCTGTTGTGTTCAATAAGGCAAAGGAACTTGATCCTGTGCAAAAACTCTTTTTGGACAAGATTAGAGAATACAATACAAAAACCCAGTAAGTGGAATTTTAAGGAACCAGTGCTTTGAATATCTTGTTATCAATTTGATGAAAATTTAAACTAGCTGTGTATTCCGTAGTTTATATTATTGGAAGGCTTTTAAAATTTATATTCTGCTTTATAGTCCCAAGAGGATCTCAAAATAGCTTACAGAATATCCTCACAATTAAAAACACATTAAAGATGAGCATCAGGAACAAAAATAATATCTATACAGGGGTCCAGGCTCAGTCAGATGTGAATTTCCTGCCTCTGGTCTTTCCCAGGTTGATAGCCTTTCCTTTGGTAACTGCTTACCTGGCAGAGCAAAATGTACAGGGGAAAGGGAATGGAGCTGAGTAGTCGGTGGAGGCACTTTTTCCTTTGCTGATAGTTGGCAGGCAGCAGTTCCCATGAAGGTTCTTGTGTAAGCCTTTCTAGAACTTGGTTTTCAGTAATATGTAATCTATTGACATGCAGTGGTATTGTTTGTTGATCAATCCTGCTGGTATATAGTAACTTTAGAGTAAATTTGGCCAATGTTTAAATTCCCTACCTTTAAAGTAGCTTAGCTGATTGTAACAGGAATGGTCCAGACTACAAGGGCTGAGTTTTAAACCTTAATATAGCATAACAAATTATTATATACTTACTTACTTTATTTAAGGAATTCTATATAGCACATAGGCTTTTAGGCAAAATAATATAATGCATCTCTCTGGCAGCTGCAAATATATCATGGCTGCAATAAAAATCTGAGCCACTGCCATTAATTCAGTGCTTGGTTAAATGTACATCAACTTTGTTGCTATTTTAATTTTCACCTGATATTTGAAATTATGTATGTAATATATACCTCTTCCTAAAGTGTTGAATGGTTTTCTTTCTAATGTAGGTGATAAACAGTGATTGAAACTTGTTTTCTTTAAAGGGTACCTCTAGGCTCCCGCAACTCAGTGGGAAAAAGTTGTGTGGGACAAATTATTTTAAATGCATAGGAAGAAAACGTAATACTGGTATTTGTTTCATTTATGCCTCGTTTTTCTCTCCATTGGGAACTCTGAACAGCTTACAATATTTTCCCCACCTGTCCACCTCCATTTATCTTCACAACTACCCTGTGAGGTAGGTTAGGCTGAGTATATGTGACTGGTGCAAAGTCACCTTGCAAGCTTCTGTGGACAAATGGCAGTTCAGACTTGGGTCTCCCAGATCCTAGCCCATCACTAACCACTTCATTAAGCGTGCATTGTTTTGAATAGTGAGCTTTAGTTGCTGCTAGTTCTGTGCTATGACAAAATAGTGAAAAGGAGAAAAAGTTAGTGTAGTCAGTTCCACTATGAGTTTGTTCAGTGGATGCTACCATTCAGGCACACAAATTATTAGGCTGAGTGGTTTTTTTCATATATACCATTTGCGCTGCTTATAGCAGCTTGAGCCCAAATCTGGCTTTGTGGGCAAGACTCCCGCATCCAAACCATTAAAGAGGTGTCCCTTGGCACTTTAACACAGGTTTCTACAAGGGACCACTGTTGAAGAAAATGCAGTAACGTGCAACCATTAAAATACATTTTCTTTGCTACCTTGATAGCCTTTCCTTTGCTCTTCCATTGTGCAAGTCTGGTTGTGATTACATTGGCTCAGGAGTTTTTCTTGCAGAAAGAAATAGTGGTTGTGTTCTGCCGCTCAATTCAGTGTAGTCCTTCTTTCAGCCTATGGAGCTTGCTTTCCTCTGAAAAAAGTGGCTCTTCAGCCATAGGGAGACCACATTCATCAGAGGAAGGCTTCAGACTTTGCTGAGTAAAATGGTTGAGTACGTGCCAGTGGATCTACTGTGTAGAGACTTCTGTTCTTTCAGGCTTCAGTGATCCTCCCAGAGAGCAGGGGTAGAGAGGCTGTTTCTTGAGGCTCTAGACTGTAGTTAGTGAACCCAGATTTCTATCTGGTAAATTTATACAGATAGCAATGTCATGTTTCTAACTTAACCATAAGCTGGGCCTCCATATAAAGATAAAACTTGTTCATTATAAAACAGTCTGTATTAGTTTTTACTACATTCTCAGCTGGCTTTTCCAAGGAGCTGAGGATAACACATGGTTCTCCCTCTAATCTTATTCTTCTTAGCAATATTGTGAGGTAAGTTATCATGAGTGACTGACCAAAGGTCACCCTACTTCATGCTTGAATGGGGATTTGGACTCTTTATCTTCCTGTTGCAAAATCAAATTCTGGCCATTACACCACACCTGTTCTGTCCTGTGGCTTCATCCCTTATGTCATTTTTCAGTAATTGCTCTTCTAAGATTGTTCTGGAGAATTAGAATCCATCTCTTCTGTCAGCTGTTAAAGCCAACTTTGTAGCCTAGACAAAATCAACCATTATCTGTGTGTTCAATAAGTGTCATAACTTGTATACAACTAATGTATACATTTTAATCAAAGGGATTGATCGTTTAGATTTTATAAACTCTTCAGGTAACCACAACATGGGGGAAAATGCAACTTTTCAAACTGTTTAAAGACTACTGCTTAAATGCTAATTATTGCATTTGAAGGAAAGCTGGTGGCCCTGTTGATGCTGGCCCAGAATATCAGAAAGATCTGAATGAAGGACTTGCTAAACTCCAGCGATTGTATGGTGGTGGAGACTTGACCAAATTTCCAGACTTCAAATTTGTGGGTAAGCTATTAATTTTTTTTACAATACAGTTCAATACAGCTTATTTACAATATAGTTCTAAGCTCATTGACTTTAATGGACTTAGTTGGGGGTATCTGTAGTCCAGACGACACTGTTAGACATATTTAAGTATAGGTTATAAATAATATCATCTTAAGCCTTGCACACTTGTAATCAATAATTAAAACTGCCTCCAGTCTGTGAAACTAGATACCCAAATTCCAAATACATTTCAGTTGACTAACGATGTGTGTAACATTAGATGGCAAAATATTCTGCAGTAAAGGGTTAGTGTTTTTAACACTAGTGGTGAGCAAGCACTAACCATCTCCCACGCATTAATTAAGTCAGTTGGCTATGTCTAAATTTTGTTCACATAAAAGTTACTTCCCTGCTGCCCTTTCCCACTGCAACCTGATATGCCCTCCTCCCTCAAGAGTGGGGGGCCTCCAGGAGCAGTATGAGAGGAGAAGTGAAAGACTGCCACAGCAGCAGCAGGAGGAGATGTGGTGAACATTCATGTCTTCCTTGCATGTGTGGATCTTTCTTTTCCTTGGCATCCAACCCAATGTTACAGAGACTCACTTGTATTCATGTTCTCAGTATAAAAGAATTGATAGATTTATTTTACCAATATGTCCATGTTTTAGTCTTGTCATCTGTTATTTCAAGGAACTGTTCCATACTTGAGAATATGCATGGGAAAAATATGTACAATAATCAAATTGATTACAAGGAAAGTATAGTCTAAACATAAGAATAGTGTTCTAATACATGCCATTTTCTTACGTCACAGTGTTCCTTATTTTGTAGCTCTTTGCATAACTGAAGAATTTAATTCCATATGGTTAGGTATATTGATGGTCTATATCCCAAACAGATGAGAATGTATTTTAGGATCTTCTAAATTACTACCTTTTGCTACAGAGCTATCGTCTCCTTATTTTCAGATGCAGCAGTAACTTGGTGTAGAAGCAACTCAGTAAACATTGCTTTTGCACAACAGATCAGATTCCAGTAGTTTGTATGTTATTGGTACTTACCATATAATATACTTGCAGATGATTAGTTTGTGAATTTATGTGGCAAACTCTCCATTATTTCTCTAGAGGTATGTTTTTGAAATAAGCTGACACTACTTTTCTTCTGACAGAACCCAAGTTTGAAGAAGAGAAGAAGTGATGGAAAGGACATATCTACCCGAAGCAGCAATGTCAGGTTGGATGTATTGTAGTGGTGCAGCTGTAACTTAAATAAACAGTTTGTTGCTCAAATGTGTGTGTTTGAATTCAGAAGGATATATATACAGCAGTTATTGCTTTTGTTTAAAATGTATTTTGTTTTACAAGATCAAAAGATTTTTTCATCATAATTCAGTCATCTGGTAAGCATAATTCAATAAAGCAGTCTATTTTAATATTCATTTTCTTCAGACATAATGAGGAATCTTATCAATGTATAGCATTTGGTTTGGTCTGTGTGCCAGATTATTGTGGGCTGCAGTTGTTAAAATGCTTGAAGTCTCATGTATTTCTGATCTTTTTATGAATGCAGATTACGTAAGCCTATTTCGGAAATTTTTGAAAGCTTGTAGTGTTTTTAAAGGTGCCAATATGATACCTGTACCAAAACAGGGAACAGGTCATACACCTGTACAATATTTGTTTGAAATAGTGGAATTGTAAATTTACTTTCTTAAGATGAAATCTGAAACAAGCTGATTTTATATAACTATCATCTTTCTATATAATAATTCTATTTTGGTCATGGACTCTTCTGAACATTCCACACGCTCCCAAATCAGTTGGCTCTTTGGTCTGTCAATCATGGCTTGCCTCCCTCTATTTCCCCCTTCCCTCTGCTTCCCCCACCAGCCACAGTTAGGACACTCACCTGGAGCTTCCTTCTAGAGCTCGTATTTCTTCTCACAATGGGCCTTGCATTGTTGGAGTTGTTGATGTTTACATAATCACAGACATTTCTTCAGTTGTAAAATATTGATCATTTCACTCTGTCTCGTGACTAAAAGAGGGAAATGAATGTTCATGGGCCAGGATTGGAGGAGTAAATTCTGCCAATTGATTTGTCCATATTCTTTTGACTGCATGGCCGGGTGAAGAAATAACATGTTTATATAAATCCAAAGGTACCCCAAGTTTGCAGAAAAATCCAAAAAGCCTTTTTAATAAGAACATCTGAAGAAATGTCTGTGATTATGTAAACATCACAACTCCAATAATGTATTAACTAATATTTCATAAGATCAAAGCTGATGTTGTAACAGGCTATTTTGGGGAGTTTGAAACAGAAAGTAGTTCTGGTGGGTGGATTGAAAATAATTTGTGTAGCAGGCTTTATACTGAGCATTATCCTATAACAAGTAAGGGGCCCATTAGACTCACAAGGGAGAATCACATACCCCACCCATAGTTGAATCTGGAGAGGCTCCAGGCTGTACTACTTCCCACTGAGTTAGAGCAACTCCCTTGGGGTGTTGTCTGTACATATACAGATAATGTAGTTGTCTTTGGGGGGGTTTAACTCCCCCATATTTTAATTTTGATTTCAGATTTTTCTGCAAACGTGGTTTCCTACGTTTACAGGAAAATCTGTTTAGCAGTGGTGTGCCCTGATCCACAGATGTAGATATCGGATATTAGTATATAGATACGCTACAAAACAATCTGCTTTCTATATGGCATTATAGTCAGCTTTTTTTAAAAAAAGTCCGGAGATAGGACAAGGCATTTTTTAAGACTAAACAACTCTTAGGGACCTGTGCCCCTAAATACAAAGATTTCAGGAACCCTGAAGTGGTAACATAATTTTTTCCTTCTTATATTTATATGTCAACTAGGAATAAGGACAGTTGTGGAAATAAATAAAACGAGATCTAGAAAGAGGCTCTGGGCAGTGCCCCGGCCTTGGGCACTCAATGTCAATTTGCTGTGGTGATCTCAGCGGGGTATAATGACACCGAGTCCACCATTTTCTCCAGAGGAACTGATCTCTGCTACCTGAAGAAGAGTTGTAATTTTGAGTGATCTCCAGCCCTCACCTGGAGATTGGCAATGATGGTTCCCCAGGAGGGAATGGCTGGTTTGGAGGGTGGAGTCTATGGCATTGTACCTGTCTGAGGTCCCACGCCTCCTGAAACCCCACCCTCTCTAGGCCCCTCAAATCTCCAGGAATTTACTACCGTATCTCCTTCCCAGCCAAACATCAATCTACTTTTATCTGCCTCTCTGACTTCAGCTTTCCACGCCCCCACACACCTGCAGCCTCTCCCGTGCTCTGAAGCCCTGACTGCTATGTCACATTGGCTGCCATACGGGGGCCATCTCAGCAGGATATAAGGACACAGATATCAATTTATAGTTCCAAATTTGCGCAGAGCCATCTCCTTGGCCAGATTTCATGTTCTTCCTTCTGCTCTTCTCTTTGGCAGATTCCAGGGGATCCCCTACTCCAGCAAGTGCTGTCCTTGTATGAAGGACTGTTGAAACTGTTCCCTATGCTCTCCTTCAATGTCCCTTTTATTTGGTGCCCCACCAGGATCTTTTGTACCCTATATTAGCTCAGTTCCCAGAGATTCCTGACGATTTTTAGGTTCTGTTTTTACTTGGTAATAACAAACAGAAATAGTAGCAAGGTTTCTTCTTAGTGCTATTGCTGTACATTCTGATAAGTAACCACTAGGTTTTTCTGTTTTTATGCTGTTTTCCTGTGCCGTAGCTTCAATTTAGTCTATATAGATTTGTATTTTCCGATCTAAATTTTACCTGATCTCCTATTGTATGCACATATGCCAATAAAGGCTTGTCAAAGTCAAGTCATAAGGACACAGTCCACCATTTTTTCCAGGGGAACTAATCTCTGCCACCTGGAAAGCAGTTGTAATGCTGAATGATCTCCAGCCCTCACCTGGAGATTGGCAACTGGTTTCACCCAACAGGCACTAAGGGGAAGTGTATTTTACCTCAGAACACATTTTACCTCAGAAGAGCAACAGCAAACTGTTAGTAGCAAAGGCCAATCAAGCCACATGTGCAAATAACCTCTGTGTTCTGACTGGCTATGGGGGGGGGGAGAGGAACAGCAAACTGTTTAGAATGTTGGAGGCGAGACTCAAGCAATGCAGCCAGTGGATAGGGACAGATTCTGAGTGACACACCAGGGCGCCAACCAATTCAGGAGCGTGTGGAATTTTCTGGAGAGTGCCACCACCAAAATTCTTTTATATATAAGGAGAGATTTCCAAGTGATCATTTAACAGCATTGAATGCAACAATTTTTTATGCTAAAGATGCATCTTAATTATCAGTGGTGCAATCACAAACCTGTAAGTAATTTATTCTGTTAAAGTTTTAAAGGCACTGGATACAGTCATGATATACAAATAATTCATAGCAACAAAATTCATAAATAGGCTTATAAGATTTTTTTTTAACAAAATAGCTGTAAAGATACTACATTTCAACAAGTTTATACTTGCACAAGTTCACTACATCTGACTGGTCTGAAAATCAAGGCACTTGAAAGAAACACTTGGCAGTGGAAAAATACATTGAACGCTACCGTTCTGGTCCAGGTTGCTAGAAGATAGCTAGAATTTTTCAGTTAATTCATTTATAGAAGTCACCACCTGCTTACTACATTGATGCCTTCATTTGTACATCAGAACAGTGATGTTGATTTGTTAGTAACACCTACAATTTCATCTGAGAAAATATTATCCGAAAATGGACAGCTTTGACAAACATGTCCTCGACTTGTAACATTAACTCACTACTATTGTCATTGGTGTTCGGCATTCACTCATTTCTAAAGAACACAGTTGAAGAGTCCCTTTGTACAATGTTTGGTGATCCTCACAGAGGTTGAATTTTTTTAGATAATAAAGGACTTGGTGTGCTTGAAATCCTAAAGAAGGAGGAATTAGAAAGGTAAGAAAATAACTGATAATTCAAACATTTTCAGTCACTGCTCTTGTCCAATTAGATCAGCTTAAGAGGTTTCTAAAGTAAAGTTAAAACATGACCAATCTGTGCTGCTTTGAAAAAAATGTGCAGCGTTCAATGTTTCTTGGTATAATCAGATGATACAGGAGCAAGAATTTCATGGCTATTACTGCAGATGACATTCTTCTGAGTCAATTAGTTTAGATGCACAGTATTCTAAGAAATTGAGTCATCTGAGCTACATGCTACAGTTACCATATTCCTGAACTATCTGTTGTGGCTCTCAGTACGCAATTTCTGTACACCAAGCAGAGGATGCTGTGTGAGTGCTACAGAACAAACTAATTTATAGTTCTCACATAAGCAGGGATGGGACTTTGGTTGGGGGAGGGGGCAGGTTGCACTGCATTGGGAACTACCAAACCGGTTCATAAATGTAAACCAGCCACTATTTGTCCTTTGCTACCACAATAAGGGAGCCTGTAAACTGGACTCTAGTATTGCTATTTCTGTAATTGCACTGGCAATCACCATTTGAATGGAAATAGCTACAAGTCACCTCTGTATATAGCCTAGTTTGCACTGAGGGCTCTCTATGTGGGCCTGAAGGTGAATTGGGTGACATGGAGATTTAAAAAAAAATATGTAGATTGCATGAACAGTCCAGTAAATTTAACAAATCTGAGAATAATGTAGGCAGCTGCTTTGGCTTGAAATTAGGGAGCTGAGCTGCTTTGGCTTGTGTTACATTCCCTGTCTGAATCAGTTTCATGAGTTACCAGAAAGCCTACACCTTATCTACAGTCTGATTTCAAGACAGGCTAAGTTAAGGAATTACATTAATAGACTCCTGGATACATTTTCCTGTGGCTGCTGCTTATTAAAAATGAGACTACTGGGAATAACCTTCCTGTGACAAGTGCCCCATCCCATAGTTGTAATGGACAAGTAAGCTTACATGAACAGCTTTTTGGAGTGTCTTATTACATGCTTGTGTATTTCAGACAGTAAATGGATGATTATATAGAAAAACTTCATGTGCATAGAAAGTCCAGCATAGCATGGAGAAGGGTTCTAGCTATGTCTTATAATGTGTATGTATTTTTATATGCACTGACCTGGATAGCCTAGGCTTGCCTAGTCTCAGATCTTGGTAACTAGCAGGGTCAGCCCTAGTTAGTCTCTAGATGGGAGACCATCAAGGTAAATCCAAGGTTTCTATGGCAGAGACAGGCAATGGCAAACCACCTCTGAACATCTCTTGCTTTGAAAACCCTATGGCGTTGCCATATGTCAAGTGTGACTTGACACCAAGCAAGGTGCATTACCACATGAGCCTATATTTTCACTGTAAAATGCTATGGATGTAAAATACTCACATTTTCATTTTGTGTTGTGCTGGGCTTAGAATTCTTCCTGATAACAAATTGGAAAAGAGCACTGGTTACATTTTCAGCTTCTCGTACATGTTATTCAAATCAAGCTTTGGGTGTTCTAGTTCCAATTGCATTTTCATTTTTTAAAAAAACGATGGGGAATAGGACTACAGTGAAGCGATTGGCATGCAGGAAGATAAAGAATGGCTTGTGTCATAAGACTCCCTTCTGCCAAGTATGGGATTTTTTGTTTACATGACTTTCTCTTCATGGAAGAGTCCTCACTTAACAGATGGAAACTTTAAGACCCCACCTTATGAGATTTTTACATTGGTAAAATGAAAAGGCATTTTGATTGGCTATAAATAATAGACATAAATTGAAAATCCTGTTATTTACAAGCCCCATGGATATGATTAAGCTTTGCTGAAATAAGGGATGTTAAGGAGTGGGAATTTGTCAGGGGAGAAATCCCTTTGTATTGCAACATTGCTTTTCTAGTGCTGTCGTAAGAACAGTTCTTGAGTTGTGTTCTCATTAAGTCAAAAGCGTGGGTTTTTTTTTTTGCAAACTAGACCAATCTCCATAAACTGAATAAACAATACCTTATTTCCTAAGGGTTTCCTTATTTCACAATTAAAAGCAAACATTAGGAAGGTAAGAGTCAGCGTCAAACATCAAGCCTAGGAGCCAGAACCATCCTGTCCAGGATTCTTATTGGGCCCACAAGCAACTGGGGTGAGGGAGGGAACAGGTGGCTGCTGGGGGGGGGGAAACGGGGGGCTGGGGGGGGGGGGGGGAAGTGGGCAGAGCCACTCTGATTGTGGCTTCAGCATGGCAGAACAGCCTTGTCTGCAGAATCCCTTTGCTTTGGTGGCAGCCTCACTGGTAATTTAAGAGCCACCGCAGCTGCATTCATGTCGGCTCAGGGTTCCAAGGCAAGGTCGCACATCTCTCCATTTGGCCTGCAGCTCCAGGGATGCTGTCTCAGATGGCTACACGGATCAGTGTTTGCATGTGGCGGGGGGGGGATAGATGATCCTCTGTTGGCGGCCAGCACACCTGCAATATTCGTGTCCCCCTCCCATGCAGTGGCTGTGTTTTGGCGCATTGTGTGGCATTCTTCAGCAGTTTCTTCTACACATTGGGGGCCTAGTCCTGCCACTGAGCATGTGACTCCATGGCCAAGCCTTCCCCATGGACCACCTGGTGGCCTTCATCCGTAGGCAGCTGCTACCTTGTGGGGATCAGTGCCTGCAATCTCCGGTTATACTGGTTGCTGGGTGGCCTGGGACCTCTGCCACATGCACAGCCTTGTGTGCCGGTGCCTGCTCCCCCATCAGATGACTCAGCAGCCTTTGGCCTGGGGCAGCTGCTGCCATATGGGGGTGGCGCAGCTTGCCAATGATCTCTGGCTTTAACTCCCACCATCACCCCACCACAGTTTGCCTGGTGGCCATGGTTGGAGGTGGCCGCTGCCGCGCAGGCATCTCCAGCTTATCTGGCTTTGCTTGGCCTGGGTCCAGCCGTGCATGTGGCCTCAGACCTGGGCCGCCGACCCCGTTTCTGCAGGTGGGGTGTTCACCTTGTCTTCCCAGTCCCTTCCCATATTGGTTCGGGGGCAGGGGGAGCTCACAACACCCAGCCACTTCATGTTTTTACCTTGGGGCCCGGTCTCACAGTATTGGTGGTAGAAGCGGGCTGGGGAAGGGGTTTGCCCCCCTCCTGGCAGTTCAGGAGCATCTGCCCAGCACTGCACGATCTCCAGTTCACCTATGCGGATTTTCCTCTGCACACACACACCAGCCTTGCAGTGAGAACACACCAACCTGGAACTTACCAGGTGCTCTCCTTTATAAAGTTGATATCTCCAGTACCTGGCATTACATTTTATGGCACACATGGCCTAGCCTGACAAAGTCACATTTACATCAGATCTGGCCCTTGTAACAAATGAGTTTGACACCTCTGCATTAGATACCAGTGACCAGATTGAGGAATGAATGAGACGTATGTGACTAATGCAAGAGATTCTGCTTAATTGTACTTAAATTGCCAGCTGCTAAAAATAAACAGGAAAAATAACTGTACTTACATTGAAGAATTTCTTTCTAGAAAACAAGAAGAAAAGAGACAATAAAGTATCTGTTATTTATGTTTCATTGCTATCTTTAATGATACTGAACTGCAGGGAATTCAAATTGTTTCTTTGGAAGTCTCTGTTTAGAACAACCATTGGTACGTACTGTGAAGAGTCCTTCTCTTCTGAGGTCAGGAGGATATCTCCACGGGTTATTCCCACCATGGTTATAGGGAGGCAGGAAACAGTTTCCCCCCCTTCCTGTTGGTGCCCTCGGAATAGCCCCTCCTCAGTTCTGGGACTCCAAAGCAATAATCTCAGAGCAAACATAAGCCTTGCCCTACAAAACATAACCATTAAAGATAACAGAACCTGAACCGTAACTGAGAAAACAAAGGAAGTTGGCAGAATAGTTTAGTAAGAAGAGAACAGCACAGAATAAAGAGGAAATGATGAAGATGGGACGGCTGAGATGTCCTCCTGATCCCAGAGGAGAAAGACCCTCCACGGTAAGTACCAATGGTCATTCTCCCTCTGAGGTGGAGGACATCTCCATGCGACCTCCCAAAGCAGTGTCCCTCAAACGGGCGGGTCATCATCATCCTCAAGCATCACGACATGCTGTAGTACTCTTCATCCAAAGGCCACATCCGCGGATGCCACAGTGTTAAGGTTGTAGTGACGCACAAAGGTAGATATGGATTACCATGTAGCTGCCTTGCAAACTTCCTCTACTGATGCTTGGTTGATAAAAACTGCATTGGTAGCTGCACAATGCAGGGAATGTGCCGTAATCCCTCTGGGGACGTCCTGCCCCAAGGCCCTGTATGCTACCACAATGCAGGACTTGAGCACCGTGCTAATGGACGATCTGGACATTCTGTCCCCTTTTTGTGGGGGAGAAATATTCATAAGCATGGAATCCGTTCTGCAAATGGATTCCATTTGTGCGATGTAGATCTTCAGTGCCCTCATAACATCCAGACTATGCCATACGAGTTCCTTAGGGTGTTTAGGATTAGGGCAGAATGTAGGTAAGCAGATTTCCTGTGCACGATGGAAAGCTGACATCACCTTTGGCCGAAAGGTAGGATCAGTCCTGAGCACAATTTTGTCTCTGTGAAAGATGCATAGGGAAGACTTTATCAAAAGCACACTGAGTTCAGAAATCCTTCTTGCAGAAGTGATGGCTACTAGAAACAGGGTCTTCATCCTCAGCCATCAAATTCCCAGCTCACAGAGAGGTTCGAAAGGCGCCTTGGTGAGTGCCACCAGAACAGAGTTCAATCTCCACATTGGAAAATGATGTATCTGTGGGGAAGATTTGGTTGCTGCGCCCTGCAAGAAGAGTTGAATATGAGGATGTTTAGTTAATTTGAATTCCCCCAGAGAAGGTAAGGCTGCGAACAACACTACCGTCTGCCTGTGCAATGTAGACGCCTTAAGACCAGAGTCCAATCTCTCCTGGAGAAAGGCAAGAAGCAATGACACTGATGGAGAAAGGGATCTGCCTTTTTACATCTGCACCACCGCACGAAGGGTTTCCAGGTCGTATTGTTGACTGTTTTCTAGTGGACAGAATGGTGCCCATGACCTCCTTGGAGTATCCTAGCTTCGAGATTTTGCCCCATTCAATCTCCAGGCAGTCAAACACAGCCAGTCTAGGTGCAGATGGCCTTGGGACAGCATGTCTGGGGTCACTGGAAGAATCAATGGCGTTGACACCGACATCTCCCTCGGAGCCAAGAACCAAGGACGTCATGCCCATCTGGAAGCTATCAAGATCACTTCTGCTCTGAGCTCTCTTATCCGGTGAATGGTCCTGGAGATCAACAGGAATGCGTAAAGTAGTCCCTTTGGCCAAAGTGTGGAGAGAGCATCTGTCGCCTCTGCCTGCTGGTGGTAATATCGTGTGAAGAATCTCGGTACCTTGTGATTCGTTGGTGACGTGAACAGATCGACTGATGGTTGACCTAGTTGTGATCTAATCAGTCTGAAGAGGTCTGGATGCAGTGTCCACTCCCCCTCCTGGAGAGTCCCCCTGCTGAGCCAGTCAGCCAGAATGTTGTCAACCTCCTTGATGTGTTCCGCTCTTATAGATGTGATGTTCCTCTCTGACCATGAGAGTATCTTCATCACTTCCTGGTGTAGTTGAGAGGACCGAGAGCCTCCCTGCTTGTTGATGTAGGCCTTGGCTGAGATATTGTCCATGCGAACCAGAATATGATGACCTTGGAGCTGATGACCAAAGTGAGTCAGTGCAAGAAATATCGCTCTGATTTCCAACAGACTGATGGGTAGGGTCACCTTGGCAGGACTCCACTTACTCTGCACAGGGGAATCCTCCAAGGTCGCACCCCAGCCGTGAAGACTCGCATCTGTGAAGATCTCTATGCACTGTGGAACGTAATATACCTTGCCCCGACTCAGATGATCCAGACTCATCCACCACAGCAGACTGCTCTTGACTTTGGAAGGCACTCGAAGTGTGATGTTCCTTTTTTCCATGATTGCTCTCTGGTGGGGCCGAAGAAAGAGTTGCAAGAGTCTGGTGTGAAGGTGTGCCCATTGCATCATGTCTATGCTGGAAACCATCAGCCCCAGAAGCTTGGCCAGGTCCATAAGAGAAGAGCAGGTGCTGCAAGTTACTAGAGATGCCATCTCTCTGATCTTCTTGGCCCTGGATACCGGTAGAAATAGCGCATTGCTCCCAGATGCTCGATCTTCTGTGTGGGTTGGAGAGAGCTCTTGGAGAAGTTGACCAGGAACCCTTGATTCTGGAGGCATCTTAGTGTTGTCTCTGTGTTTTGGATGGCTTCCCCACGACTGCGGGCCCTCACTAGGAGGTTGTCCAGATACAGGTACAGATGGATCCCCTGGCTCCTGAGATGCACAGCAGGGTTCATTACCAACTTGGAAAAGAGTCTTAGAGCCATGGATAAGCCAAACGGCAAAGCTTTGTATTGGAAGTTTTGATTGTCCACACACAACCTCAGAAAGCGCTTGTGAGCTAGATGAATTGGAACGTGAAGATATGCAGTTCTATGGAGGTCAAGAACTCATCTGGCAAGAGAGATTTTGTGATGGTTCTCAAGGTCTCCATGTGGAAATGGTGAAGTTTGATGTATTTGTTCAATATGGCCCTCCAGTCACCATTCTTCTTGGGGACCATAAACAGGATGGAATATAATCCCTGTTCGTGATCGGGAACTGGTTCTATGGCCCTGATGTCCAATAAGTGACTCAAGGCCTTGTTGACGATGGCTGTCTTGTCTGCAGACTTGCTGACTGGTAATCTGAGGAATCTTTCTGGTGGTCGGGTTTTGAATTCTATGGCATAATCATGAGACACAATCTCCACCGCCCAGGCATCTGCCTGAGCCTCTGACTAACCTGTGAAAATGGAAAAGACAGACTCCCACCAGAAGAGACCCGTAGTCATGCATGTTTGAGCTTGGTGTCACGCTACCCTCTATCGTTCTTGTTGAATGGTTGCTTGGGAAATCTGACTCCGAAAGAACCCCGTTTTCCTGAGGATTTGGGAGACTCACAGGACATCTTCTTTGTATCTTGTCGAAATATTGGCAAGGAATGTTGACTATGAAAGGAATAGTTGCCCCTTCTCTCAGAGCACCATACGGATCTGGGCATGGCCTTCTTTTTGTCGCACATTTCCACGAGAATCTTGTCCAAGGCTTCTCCAAAGAGCCGATCCCCTTGGAATGGATAGGCTGTGATGACGGATTTAGACAGGGCATCAGCATGCCATGCCCTTAGCCAGAGAAGCCTCCTCATTACTGCCGTAAATGTTGATGTTTGGAAGAAGTTCTTCTTACAAAATGGAAGTTTAACTCTGGAGAATTTCGTCCATCTGGAATTGGAATTGCACAAAAGAAAAGATTGAATTATATATGCTGTAATTTTGTAAGATTATAAGCGTCTTTGCCAGAGGTTCTGACTGTGAGCAGGCCGGAGCCAATGCTCCTGGAGATGGAGAATATGGGCACCTGGATTCTGATGCCAGGGCAACCAAGGAACCTCTTTAGGAGGAATCAGAGCAGTCTTGATAGTCGGGCCTGCAGGAACCAACTGTGCTGAAGCGGGCCCGGAATGGGATTCAGTAGTCAGAGCTGAGGGAAGCCAACCTGAACTAGTAGCGTTCAAGCTCGGAACAGACTTGGGAGGAACTGAGGAAAATGCCTTTTCCCAAAGTGCAGCAGCCTAAAGGCCCCATCTGACTGAGTCTTATGTGTAAAGCGCTGGCAAATGGAACAAGTCCCACAGGAGGCAGAATTCGTGCTCATCGCTGTCTGTCATCTTGGTTACACATTTTGCACATTTTTAAACAGCATCTTAGTCACCATGATAGGGCACCACAAGCTCACAAAATGCGGAAAGTCCAGTTGGGACTTGCCTCCCTTGAGAGGGACTCCCAAAGTAGCCAGAAACTAGTCCATGATGGACAAAAAAACTTCTTCAAAGGCCAAACAATGAAGAACCAAGGAGCGCACTAGAAAAGCTTCCTATCCTTGCGGCGGCAAAAAAGGAACTGAGGGAAGGGGGTGCCCGCCATCAGATCATGTGACCTATTGATTGGGAAAACCTGTGCACATATCGGCTCCATAAGGAGTGGGGCACCCCCTTTAGGAGTTTTTAGCTAGGAAAAATGTATCTGTGGCCAGCCTGTGCAAGTGCAGTCCCAATGTGGGGCTGCATGAGAAGACGGAAGAGGAACTGAATCTATCGCTGTTTCAAAAGAGTAACTTTAGGGGTAAACTGGACATCACCAACTCAATTCAAATTTCCCACAGCCAGACTGCCTCTGTGGGGAACTAGCTGCCCTAGAGCCACAGTATGAGGAGAAGAAGGCCTAAAAATAGACCCAATTAATTAAACATTGTTACATTTTCCCTGAACGTATGCTAGATTGTAGATTCTCTAGTCTGTGACAAATTCCTTATCCTGGAATAAGATTTGGGGTCTACCAACTCATGGCCAGCTCTTCCTTGTCAATCTACATGTAAAACCACTATCTCTCACTAAGCCTTAAGAACAGTACTTTCTTGAAAAGAATTAAACTTTTTACTGCTTTTACTTAATATTGTCCTTTTATTGCACTTTCTGTTAGGGATCTGCTAGCCTGCTCTAGAAATACTTGTGTTCCTGCTGGTCCCACTCACAGTTCATACATTCATTTTGATAAAGGTAGAAAAAAGTTTTACTTACTTGAAAAGTAACCTTTTGTTTGTGCATAATATACTCCAAGACCACAGGAAGCTATTATTAAAGACACAATTACCACAGCAGCTATAATGCCACCAACATTAAGGTCATCTAGAAGTCAAAACAAGGAAAATGTAACATTGGGGGCAGTGACCACTATAAGTCTTGATAGAGGACAATAAAATATCCCCACTCTAAATGTTCACGGAAACCACAGTCCTATAGTATTACAATGGGAAATGATAGTTCAAATTCCACCTCAATCATACGCTTTGCTCAGGTTTCTCATTTTTCCTGTACCTTTGCCTCACCCAGGTGCATAGCCACAGTGGGGCATTTGAGACCATGCCCCCTTATCCGGCAGCCATGCCCCACCCCCTCCCCAGCATGTGGAAGGGCGCCCCTGCCACCCGCGACAATTGGAGAGATGCATGCTGCCATCTTCTTGGGCAGCTGAGGAAGCCTGTGCCTCTCAAACAGTTAGAGAAGTGTGTGTGTGTGTGGGGGGGTCTTCTTCCTGCTTCTGTAGCTGACTTTGGCTGCAAAAGCGGGGGGGGGGGGCGCCCCAGC